GCCTAACCATCATGGCCAGGATGATATTTTTCGTAGAGGTAATTGAATGACGCTTTCTGGTTTCTCATTTTGACCAAAAAGATTAAATGCATAGAAAAAAAGGAACAGTCTCCTACCAAATCACTGCTCTTTTCTGATGGTTGAATGAAGAAAATGTCAAATAGCAGACACTCACCTTAGCACAGTTCTTGAATTCTCTCGCGGAAGCACTCCTCAACACTTGAGCGGATTGCTGGCTGAAAAAATACCAACAAAAATATGAGTCATTAAAAATCCACTAGGAGATAACTTGGAGTCTGTGGGGAGGCATAGCTGAATTCCACAAGTACAATACGGCTAAAAAAATGTCTGTACAGTGAAAATGTAATTTGGGTTGACTTTTTATCTCAAATGCGTTCTCCAAAAATCAAATCTATCCATGAATTCTACAAAATGCATCCAGGTATTGAACTTGTATAAAACTGTGTGCATCATCATGATCCAGTGCGTTTGTGTTTGCGCCCTCTAGTCTATTCTGACCAGTGACACTTTTATCCTGCAATGCTTAAAAGTAACTTGATGAAACCGGAATGGCGCACTGTGAACTATAGCAAAATGCCAGTTGAACAACAAAGTTCAAAGGCACTGAGAATATCCACAAATAATAACACAATGAGATGTCCGGATACCTGTATACGTTCTTCCGTGACCAACTTCCGCATAACTTTTCATTCTGATTGAGTTTGAGTGATATCCGGAAATAATGTGAGTACATTGCACTAGGATTTCATGTTTGAAAATTTAAACGATAAAGTTAATAGGAAAAAGGGAGGCAAAAAGTAAGAGTGTGCTTGATCGTGCCAAAATTATTGGCCAGGTTATAAAGAGTCCAGGTTTTGCGAGCCTTTTTTTTTTGAAACCGAAAATGTAAAACACCGATTTGTAGTTCCTCTGAAATATTATTTTGAATGATCAATACATCTTTACTGTTCTGAATCACAGCAGGGAACTTGATGTTTTATACTTGCGAAAAACTGCGGTCAGAAAACAGTCCAACCTAACAGTCGAACCTAAATAAAAAAAAGTCCATAAATGTGACTTCGTAGTGTATTATCCATATCGACAAGAATCCAAATGATTTTTGTTCAAGAAGTAAAGAAACCAGTAAGTATTTGGACAATTTGTTTTTGAGAGTGCACAATGGAAGTAGTAGCGGAAATATTGCCAGACAGGAATTCCTCATTTTTATTGCCTTGAAATTTGACCTCACAAAACCGTGGTCTGCATCCGCACCAACTGTTTACATTAAGAGCTGAAATAAAATAGCTCGATAATTTACAAAAGTATTTGAAATTAACTCTTTCAGACGGGCTTTGATTAGTGCATGTTATGCACAAACAAAGCCCGTCTGAACAAGTTAATTTCAAACACATTTGTAAATTATCGCGATACTTTATCAACTCCAAAGTGGTCGTTGGGAAAAGGCACAACTTCTGGATCGGAATTAGCGCGCTGGTTTTGCTGTTAGCAGACGTGTATTAGAGTCATAGTGAAATGAAAAAGAACAATTTGTTCATAAAAATCTTGGGTTTCTTTCAGTCCTCAAGCTACCACATTTTTACAAGCACACAAAGACGAGAAAATATCAAGCCAACCACCGCGCTCGCTGTTTGGAGAATCATTGAATCAGCAACATTCAACAAAATCTGAATCCCGCATTGATTCAAACACATTGTGCAAAAACAACAAATTTCTTCAGAAGAAAAATGATTGTTCGAAACACTCACCGAGCAAAATCTTGTTCTTGCAGTCAGTTCTCTCTCTGGTTGTCGTCCGAAGGTGACCTGTGGTTGATGTGAAGGGTGGACGGCCCCACATTTTCTTAAATAGTGCCATCGATTTCCAGAGCAGTGACTAAAAACTCGGACCTGGATTGTGATTGCATGGCTCCTGTGCGCCGTCAATCACACATCACCGACTCGCTTCATATTAATGATATGAAAGCAATGTTAATGTCGTTGAGGCTATATAGTCACCATAAAAACTAGTCACCGAGATTGAAATGGCCGCTTCTTATTGGTGGATATTGTATGGATGTCGGTGACACATCCAAATATGGAATTTATGATTGACACACACAATCTGTCAGTCACAGACCACTCACTTGTGGTCACCGACTTGTCGTCACCAACTTGTCACCGACAAACTGTGATTGGTGGATAGACAAGTGACGTATACACCGGCCGTGATTCATTCAATGTACAGTTGGCGCTTCAGTCTATTAAATTGTGTGGATATATTCGGGATTATGAGGAATTAAATCGTACTCAAGCCAGCGGAGAAACTTGGGTTTAACTTGGGGTAGGGCACCTGAGGTGCGTGGTTTTTTTTTCAAAGGCTGCACTAAATGCAAAATAAACGTATTATTACAGCTTACAGTGAATGTTTTAATTCAGGTTTTCAAAATGGGGCGGGGGAGGGCTGGGGCCGGCTTCCACAGGGGGTGGGGTAAATGCCCCGTGTCCCCGTAGTTATGCCCCTGAGGTAGGCTTTGCTCATTGATTGGGACTTTGAGGAAATAAAATACAGTTAAATAAACTTCCATGAACTTTACGCATCATATACGGCCCGTGTATAATCGTGGCCTTCTAAATGTGGAAAAGGTTTTTACACTTGAATATCTCCCAGTTCGAATAATCGTTTCCAGAAATGTTAGAATGTATGACCGGTGATGATGGACCTAAAAAGCAAACGCTCACTACCTAAAGTAATGACACAGTTCCAATAAAGCATGTTAAGTGATTTAAACGAGAAAGGCTTGTATGGAACGACCAGACTTCCTACATTTGCTAGTTTGTGGCCTCCGCATAAAGCGCACGATTCACCCTGAACTAGCCCTGGTGATATCCGGACAAATCACACCAGAGTTTGCCATTCTGTATTGCGAACCACCTCGATTTATAATAATCTCTGAAGCAATGACGTAGCGACGATGGGGGTGGGGTGGGATAGTTGAACGACCACATGGCCCCCTTCCCCCTCCCCTCCCCCATACCAGTGGGACCATACCATACACGTAAATGACAAAGCCACTTGTCTGATTAGGGGCCTTACATGGCCTTGTTCCGAAGCCGGGCACGAAGCCTATGTTTACAAAACGACCGAAAGTCATCGAGGTCATGAGACATACCGGCGTTTCTCAAACTCCGGCTTCGTTCCGTAAACCGGTTTCGGGCATGCGGCTTGGCAATAGAGCTGGATCCGGTATTGGAATGAAGCTAGGATTTGGAAAACCTCGCTTGTAGCTCACTCGACGTGTGTCAGGTCGCCGTTCAAAACGCCTCGCTGTTTCGTCCCTCGGTTAACTGCCGGCGCTTGTCAGGATGACCTTGTGGAAAGGCTACAGTTAGGCCTCTTGACCAGCAGAGGCAATCTCTTGTTCATATTTGCGGAGCCACCAACTTGGAAAGTTTGAAAAGCTGGGGTGGAGGGGGTTGGGCTTAGACGCTACCTGACTATTGAGGGCACTGTTCCAAAATGCATGTATACATACCCGCGTACTATAGCTATAGTGGTAGATAGTGGTAATGACTTGAAATAAAAGACATTCTTATTAAAAATAACACTCAAAATATTTTTGATTGTATTTCTAGAAGATAACATGCTTTATACTTGGTGCACATAATCATGGTCTCAAGACGTATCTGCGTCGTTTGGAATGCATTGCGCAACCAATGTGTCTATGTCGTTCAGAAAATTGCACAACGAACAATGTCCAGCTTTCGTTTCAGGTAGATTGCGAAATCAGAAATCGTTGCTTTTCGTTTGATAAAACTGCGCAAGAAAAGAAGGGGAAACAAAATAATTCCTTACCATATAAGGTTATATGTGGTTGATATTTAAAAAACAAAATGGGTCGATGAATGTTGATCGAAGCTTCTCCTACTTTCCAAGGAATGTTTGCATAATTGTTTTGGAGAATTTTTTTTTTTGTTGGCCAAATTGAATTAAAAATATGAGGCTAAGGCCAAAAAAAAAAAGTCTCCGGTTTCTGGTATGCGCGCGCGTCGCCGTAGCCATGCGCGTCGGCAAAATGAAAAAGTTTTTTTTTTGATGAAACATGATGTCTCAAACCGCCAAACTCACTGGTTTGACTTGAATCCTGCTGCTGCACAATTGTAATGTGTTTTTAGAATGGGTTATGGTCGAGAATAAGCTTTATGTGGCCTCTCTAGACTCCCATTTATTTGCACTAAGTTTACTCGGGCACCATTTGCAGTCATTAGCCGACATTTGAACCAAAAAAATCAGTTAAAAAAAAAAAAGCCGCGCCGCCGCACCACTTTTTGGGCAAGCTCCATACCAGAAACCGGAGACTTTTTTTTTGGCCTAACCCCTTGTATTTTTTTATTGAGGAAAAAACAAAAATTCTAAATTGCCTCAAAGTTGTTGGAAAACTTGCAAAGGGATCCCGGAATACATTCTAAGTTAATGCAACAGATATTTCTTCAGTTATCTTGTGGAAACCGAGTGTGTTTTTGCCTCGTGAAATTTGACTCAAAATTGCCCGTTATTTTTTGCGTTAAACACACCTACATTTTGTGGATGGAACTTTGTGTCCTGGACGAAAAGATAATCTTGATCAAAATCTGTAGCAAAATCGCTACATCAGCGGGAAAAAAAATTCAGTGTGTGTGGAAGCATTGAGCGTCTGGCCGTACAGAGCTTGCGATAGTACTGTACGGCCGGCCAGACGCAGTCGGGCTAGACTTTGACTTCAGTTTGCATGGACAGTCCCTAATTTTCGGGCTAGGTTCAACTAAGAAAACACGCCCAGCAAATAGCAACTCACTGTGGCTTTATTTATGTAATACAAGTGCCTTTCTGTCTGTATCCTATGGTTTTTAATAGAAATTGATGAGTGCATGCCATGAGCAGCCAGTGATGCAAGACACAGAGTCAAATGAATGCAGCATATGATGCAATTGATGGCAGTACAGATAGCAGGTTGATCTCCAATGGGCAGCAGACATGGAAAGAATGTTGCAACCTGACGCCACTTTAGCGGTACAAAGTCTATGGTGAGTCAAGAAAATTGAAGTATTTCTTAACATTAAAATTGGAAATGTTTCTCAGTCCCAGATTCATGTCTTATCATCATTTTTGCAATGACTGTCCTTCAATGAGATGATATATGAAGGAAACGGCAGCGTCAGGTTGCAAAATTCTTTCCGCAGGTTTATGCTTGTCCGAAAATTTGGGACTCTCATCAATACTGTGTTTTGCATGTTTCAGAGCACTCCATGCCAGGTCCCAGTAGTGTGGGTTTATTATAGGACTGCAGGGTATGTTGGCGACACAGATTTTATATTTCGGTTCCAAAAAGATAATCAAAGGAGTGGGTGCGTTCCGGGCTTTCAAGAAGCTTTTGAGGAAAACAAAAACTATACGTACGCTTTCTTGACTGGGAGTCAAGCGAAATAGCTCACACCTATTGTTGCAACTCTTATTAGCAACTTGAGCATCATGCTTGTTGAAGTTGTTGGGGCTGTTTATGAAGCTCGATGGAGGTAATTTTTACTATAACCCTGGAATATATGTTACTGTCCCTGCATGTGGAAAACTTAGTCTGGATAAAGCAAAGATGTCAGTGAGGTTTTTTTTTGTCAAAACGAAGATTCATATTGCAAGATTAAAAGTCAGTATTAATAATGTTTTCAGAATTAATTTTGTTTAATGATCTGTTTAATCATCAGGATTCATTTGACGACTGAGCCGCCATAGCAGCAGATCACTGACAGAACAGCAGCAGCGATACAAAGAGTCTCAGCTATCATACAGCAGAGAGGAAGACAAGCTGAGACAAAGAACAAAGACAGTGACACAGGATGAGTATCTACAGTTGTGTAACAAGATGCTATTAGTGCAAGTACAGGAACAGTAGTTGACTCAGCTGGGATCCATGGAGGACATGCTGTGAATGTTTCATCATGGCAACTCGGTCTCAGACAAGATTGTTCCAGGGGCTGATGCGTTACATTATGTTCGGCGAGGGTGCTGCCGAGCTGTGGGGGTTTGTACGCTCCGTGCAGCTGATGTGGCATCCAGACTGATTCCTGCAGAAATTTGATCAGCAGGTTGGTGGAGACAGACAGGATAAGATCATCGAGAGGGTCACCCAGCTATCACAGGTCCTGAACCTGTTAGGATACTGGATTGCAGATGCTGAACCAGTTAGGATACTGGATTGCAGATGATGAACCTGTTAGGATACTGGATTGCAAATGCTGAACCAGTTAGGATACTGGATTGCAGATGCTGAACCAGTTAGGATACTGGATTGCAGATGCTGAACCAGTTAGAATACTGGATTGCAGATGCTGAACCAATTAGGATACTGGATTGCAGATTCTGAACCAGTTAGGATACTGGATTGCAGATGCTGAACCTGTTAGGACACTGGATTGCAGATGCTGAACCAGTAATTAGGATACTGGATTGCAGATGCTGAACCAGTTAGGATACTGGATTGCAGATGCTGAACCAGTTAGGATACTGGATTGCAGATCCTGGACTGAATTGGACTGGTCCTGCCTTCAATAAACATCCATGCGGTTTAGATTGTTTTGCATGTTTAGTAACTCAGAGGAATGTGGTTTGGTTATTCACTCAAATATTGTGCTCCATGTAATTCCTTTTACCAAGTTTTCAGTTACTTGCTTATAGGCAATAAACAGTCATTGAATGATGCAAGGTTGGGTATGGGTGCATCGTACCCATCGATTGAACACAGCAGAGTCGTTTTCATGCCCTTTGTTGGTCCATGCGATCCTGGGTCAATGTTAGCTGTTATTTCAGTATATTTCAGTAATCCTATTTCCTTAGTAGGCGTCTACATACATGAAATTTAGATTTTTTTATAACCACAGTCTGTGCAATTACTGAGACTCCGACCCCCAAGAAAAGTTCTTAATTGCTGTATATTCAAACAATACAAAAAGTATGCACTTTTGCATGAGAACATCGAATTTGGCCCATATTTGGTTATGTAATAAATTATACTTAGATTGTCATTATATGTAGCCCTGTAATAAGTCAGTTCTTGTAGGGAAAACTGGTTCCCGATATCCCTGTCAGAAATGATAATGCAGGCAAACAGTCTCGTGTACTCAGTAGGGAAGGGGACCTGTTTGCATGAAAAAGCTACCAAATTAAATGCTACTTGTTCCGAGGGTTTTAAATGTCCCAAAACAGAACAAAAGAGTTGTTTTCTTCTGTTAAAATAACAAAAAGATGGAAAATTGGTAATTGAAAAACAAAATAATTTGTTGATTTTGGACAATGAGTCATCTTTAATGCCAAAACCCAGTTACTAGTCCTTATCATTGGTTCTTTTAAACTGTACGCATGCAGTACTGACATGCGTGAAATGTTTTGGTTAAAGGGAATGTACAACATTTGCCTTTGCTGCAATTTTCAAAAGTAAATGGATTTGGAGGATTATTATGTTATAGCAAATATTGTTCAACTGACTTGTTTCACGTTTTGGGCTTGTATATGTTGGCAAACCGAGAAAACCAATCATGTACTTGAAGTCTGGTTCCCTGAACCACTTAAGATGAAGCAGAGCAATTTGTAGACTTTTGGGAATTGTAAGGTCAGAGAATCAGTCTAGCAGGCTTGTACCCTTTCACCAGTGTGTAATCAATTTTAACGATAACGCGAAGTAACTAAATATGAAAAATTAGGAACTGTTTTTTAAAGCCACTTTTTTCCCAATGCTGGTTGGCTAACCAGTGTTGGAAAAATAAAAATTTTCTTGAAAATGTCAGCACACCAGGAGCCATGATTTTACAGGATGCTAAGCTTTTGACTGTCATTCCCTAACAATCCAGTGAAGTACTTTGTGAAAATTTGACCATGTCGTTTTTTTTATGCTTGCAAATGTTATATCTACCCTTAACATATGTTTCATTTTTGCAATGAAATGCTCTTCATATATTTCAATAATAACACAGTCAGTGATAACTATGTGTTAAGTTTCATATAAAGTGTTAAACGCAGTTGACAGAATTAAAATGAAAATCATTTTCAGAAAAAAAATCCAAACTTGTCTCTTCTTTAGTTTTCAATTTCTTAATCCTATCATGGATGGAGGATTAAATAATATTTTAAAAATGAGAGAAGAATATAAAATACAATTTTAGTGTTTATATTTTTGATGTATTTGATTCTGAAAACAAAACTTCACTTTAAAAAAGGAAGATAAGTTCACTTAATTTATTTTTGGGAAAGAAAAAAAAGAAGAAAACTAAGTATCAATATAATCATGGTGGGACTCGAACCTGAGTCGATGGATTGGGAGTCCTACGCCGGTCCAGCAGACCATTAACGCGCTCAAATACTCTGTTAGTTCTCTTTAATTATAACTGTAAGATAGGCTTATCGCGGCTTTTCACGTACGCGCCCATGAAGCGCTTAGACGTAAAACACAGTCTGACAATGTAAATCACTCGTTTGATTTTGGGTGTAGCTGTTCACGTTGATCGAAATTTACCTGGAAAAGGGTGATGGGTGTCAATTGAACTAAAATCGTGAACTTCAATGAAATAAAACTCGTACAATCCTTGGTTTCAGTACGAAACACACGTGTTCAACGGATGCAGAGAAGCCCATTTCTTTTGTTCAATTCCTTTGTTGAATCTGGCGTTAACAATAAAATGTTTCCATTGAGGCGAAAGGATTAAACGCCGCGATCTTTTTTCACGCTTGAGTGCCTCTGAATGGGGAATATTGAAGCGGAAAATCACGAATTACAGCACTTAGGCAGCATTTTTATCCCACATAATGATACTTTTTGGAGAGGAAATTGCATACTGAATACAACTGTAGTTTCAAAACTCAAAAATTCGCCGTATTTAAAAAGTCGAGGTAATTTTTTTGGAAAAATTTCACTAAAACTTTCCTCATCCGAACGTAGGCGGCGCTATATACATTTCATTCTCGCACGTGCACCGTATTCAGAGTTGGCTAGCGCATTATCGTGTGTGTATGGCAATGCAAGGGGATGGGGGCGGGGCTGGCTGCCTGTTTTGTATACATGTACGGTTTATAACCCTTTTTTATAACCATTTTTCCACTAACGACTTTTAGTAAAAATATTTCGCTTGTTCCCCCCTCCCCCCATCTCACACGACAAAACAAATTCCCGCCCCCCTCTTGCTTCATGGGTATACCGGGGCCCTTTTATTAATATCCTTATACGCGTCTCTTTTGTTGCATTAAAGTTGACTTTTATTCGGATTGCATTTTGTTTCACATACCTTAATTATCTTATGTTTTAGTTGTAGACCTATTCAACTTTTATTGGTGAGATAAATTGAAATTGTGATGCTAGGATAAGATTGGGTACAGTGGATAGCGGGTGATACTCAGATGGGGCGGCGGCTAGCGCGATAACAATGCGCACTGAGAATGAAATATATAAAGCGCCGCCTACGTCAGGATGAGGAAAGTTTGGGTGAAATTTTTCCAAAAAAATTACCTCAACTTTTTAAATACGGCGAATTTTGGCATTTTAAAACTATAGATGTATTCAGTATGCAATTTCCTCTTCAAAAAGTATCATTATGTGGGATAAAAATTAAATGCTGCCTAAGTGCTGTAAATCATGATTTTCCGCTTCAATATTCCCCATTCAGAGGCACTCAAGCGTGAAAAAAGATCGCGGCGTTTAATCCTTTCGCCTCAATGGAAACATTTTATTGTTAACGCCAGATTCAACAAAGGAATTGAACAAAAGAAATGGGCTTCTCTGCATCCGTTGAACACGTGTGTTTCGTACTGAAACCAAGGATTGTACGAGTTTTATTTCATTGAAGTTCACGATTTTAGTTCAATTGACACCCATCACCCTTTTCCAGGTAAATTTCGATCAACGTGAACAGCTACACCCAAAATCAAACGAGTGATTTACATTGTCAGACTGGGCGCGTACGTGAAAAGCCGCGATAAGCCTATTTGAGGTCGAGCAAAAAATATCAGAAGTTAAAATGAAAAACCTGAATTTTTTTATCATATCGCCACTGTGTTGACAAAGTGATGAACTTGTCCCATATCAATATTTTAAGCAGTTTGGGATTTTTGGCTATTCTAATATTTTATGATGCCCTCTACATGCTTACTAAAGTTTGCGACAAAAAAGTGCATCCTTCATTATTCAAGCTAATGACACAAAGTAGTAATGTGCAACGAATTATTTTTTTTTTTTGACCGGAATTTGTATTCTCGTTGATTTTACACGTGGGGAACAATGTTGCAACCTGATGCCGCTTTTGTCTTCACACATCATCTCAATAAAGATCAGCCATTGCAAAAATGTTTCACAAACATAAATCTGGGACTGAGAAACACTTCCAATTTTGTTCGGAAATACTTGGAAAGTTTTCTTGACTCTCCGTAGACTTTGTACACAACAATTGAAGTAGCGTCTGGATACTGCATTCTTTTCTACACTTGCATTATATTTTAGATTTATGTCTCCTCTACGATTTGCGTTTGGACGAAGTGACAAATGTGTTTCGTGAAATCGGCTGCAGGTTGAGATTGAGTGACTGGATACTAATTTGGGCAAATGCCAAAATCTTTACCAAACATACAACGGACAAAAATAGGGGATGATGTTTTACCTTGTAGCCGTCGTTGGCAATGAGCTACAGCAGGCTGAACGATTCGCCAGACGTCTCCATCTTAAGGTACAACTCCCAGGCTAGTCTGGCCTTACGATTCACGATGTCTGAACAACAAAAACAACACAAAGAAAGGTTATAAATACATAGGATACTGCTGTAAGAAAACACATTGTGTCCACAAAAGATGGTTCGGTTCAGTGGATGCTCGTTTTAGCAATTTTCGGCCAGCAATGCTCAGTGTAACTGTGTACAATATTTGGGAGCCAAAAGGGATGTTCAATGTAGCAAATTTCTGTCGTACAATCTGCTTAAAATGTGATAGAACAAATCCAACATGGCAAGTATATGATTAACATGTGATGTTTACACGTTTAAACAAAAAAACTTTAAATCCGCTTACAAATTTTTCAAAACATTTAAACTAAACCCGAATTATACAAAAGGGACCTCCGTTCACGCGATCTTCCTTGGAGATAACCACACATAGCACCAATAATAAACGTTGTTTTCAAATCCTCCTTAATTTACAAAACCTTAGAAGCACCGTAGTACTTGATTACATTTGGGGAACACGTAGTTACATTTTTACTTTATCAACGACTGCCTGCTATTTACTATGTCAACCATTGTTGATTTATCATGTCAATCACGCCGGACTGCAGATCAGACATAATGGGTAGGCAAAAGCCACTGTCAATGGCTAAACGTTTAAAACGGTTCTTAAAATATTTGCTTAACGTTTACAAAATGAAACGCAAAGTCACATCCTTAATATACGATCAGGGCGATGATTGCATGCTGGTTATGTCATTGTTAGAGACCCTTCAGTCTACCTCACACATGGGCAACATGTGCATCTCCCTAATGCCACGCTGGATTTTCCAGCAGTACATGAAATGCATGCACGCGACGTGTCGTGACTTTAGTTGGACATTTGGTTGTGCAGTCACAATTGTGAGTGGTCAATACATTATGAGTTGAGGCTTAACAGGTGGATTCATTCCCAAAATTAGCAACTTGGAAGTTGGAAGAGGAAACGTCATTCACAATTGACGGTAATACTCACAGCATCTTGCCAACCAGAGACACGTGTAGTCATTCTTGATCTTCTCACTCTGAATGAGCACAAAAATCTGCAAAACAAGAGAAACGAAACCCACTCCAATTAAATCATGGTAAAACCAAGTGTTGCCACCAAAACAGTGGTCTAGGAGGCACAAGGCTAAAAGCCACTCCAGATAGGAGGGCTACAAGTCGGAGCAAAGCAGCTAAATCAACCACACCATCTCTGCCCTCATAGGCACCCACTTATAAGCCATCAGTGTGGGGGTTTGGTCAGTATCAAATGAGGGGAATAATGCTCATTGTGATTTTTGGCAAGGTATGCACCCATCTAATCAGAAAATATGTGACAGCATTGCAGCGGTGGCAGCTTTTTGGGTGCTATCCCTTTTTTTCTTTTTTTTAAAATGGCTGCCAAAACATGCTTGTTACACTACATACAATTGATCCGGTTCAAGCATATTGACGGCAATTTTGAAAACACAAATCAAAAGTGATAACACTGCCACCACTCACACTGCAAAGCTATCACACATTCTCCAACTCTAGATGTGCCTTTCAAAAAATCGCTATGAGCATTGCTCTTTTCGATCGTCTGGTACCGGTGGCCCATTTTTTGGACCAAAGCTGATAGCCTATTACTCCTGGGTGGGGAGAAGCAATGAGTGACAAAGTGCCTTGCCCAAGGGCACACGCACCATGACCCCAGGCTGGACTCGAACCCACAACCTGCAGCTTTACCCGCAGACCACGAATCCAAAGCCCTTAACCACGAGGCTACAGCACTCCACACTCCTCTTGAATCAGGACAGATCATAGGTTGGAGGGAAATAAGCACCAGGCAAGGAATTCCAAAGAGATGCAGCACGTGGGAAAATAAGCTATTGGAATATCTTTTTGTTCTACATCTAGGTATACGGCAACAGTATATGGATGAGAACAGACAGAAAGTCGGGCTTCTCTCTCAAACAGGGCCGACCATCGGTGGGAATTGATACAAAATTCCACTTGTCTTGAAAATGACAGCACACCAGGTGCCGTGATTTCACAGGATGCTTGAGACTATTATTCCCTAACAGTCAGGTATTTCATAATAACTTGGTAGTTTTGGTTTTTTGATGTTTGCAAATGAAAGGCACCATGACTAGTTCAGGCACCATGACGAGTCACTGCGCCATGACTGGCCAACTATTGAGGGCGCAACAACAAAAATTGGGTCCGGGAGTCCAACCTACCTCCTGTGCTTCCTTGTAGTTGCCTGCTGTGGCTTTGGCCTGCGCATAGTTGTAGTTGAACCTATCGTCGTTGTAGAAGTAACTCTAGAAACGTAAACACACAAAAATGTCATCTTGGTTTTTCTGATAATATTCCCACCTGCACTACTTTTTTCCGCCGAAAAGGACAAATACAGCTAAACCATGCCACAGAAACAACTATGAGCAAGTTGGGGGCGAGACTAGTGGTCGATTCCTGACGTAATTTGATGCCTGAGCACTAATATCAACATGCAAACACCTCTAGTCAGACAATGGTCAAAATTGTTCACCAAATAAAAAGAATGGTCAAGAATAATTCCAAAAAATAAATTGGTCCTGAATAATAGAGGGTGATTGGCAATAAATATTTTCAGGTTTTTGGAGAAAAGTTCAAAAACGAATAGTGTCTAACATTAAATGCATTAGATAAAATGACCTCAGAGCAAATATGCAGTCCTATGCCCCCTGTCCATTTTTAAAGCTGTTAATGAAAAAAAATTAATCAATAAACATTACTGCAACTTTCCTAAAAAATAAAGCGGTGCTGTTGAAACCCCTCGGCCTGAGTTTGTTGATATAAGGTGCAAAATTACAAGTACATGTAGTAGAATAGTTAATACTGGTCAATGGAATGACCTAGACCTTCACCATGACGTTGACCTTTGACCTTTTGACCCCCAAATCAATCCAAACTTGACTTTCCTGAAGGGCAACCCCTAATGTTACAAACCCGAATCATATTTCTAACTCAAATTATCATCGAGAAACAATCTACCTCCAACTAACCACTGATATACTCACCCAAAAATAAGAAAATAATTTTCTGACATTCTTCTAGTTGGCTAATGTAGACATAAATGATATTTATTAATTAGAATTTGTTAACTTTAAATAACTTTTTTAGTGTTAACCTGGAATTTTCCAAGATTTACGCAAGTGCGCTGCGTTAGGGAACACTAATTTAAAAACTGATTTTTGGACCAATTTCCGGACACCACCGTTTTTAAGTTTTGTTCAGAATTGTATGACAGTGAAATTGTTTACAGAATTTAAATGGCAAACACTACTGAAAAAGTACCAGTAACAACTGAATGAATTTGAAGTTTATCAACAAAGAAGTTTGGCAACTGTGCATGAGGAAAGTCAGGAGAAACGTCGCAGTGCGCCACGTTAGGGAACACCACTATATGTGTGCATTGATACTGGGTTCTTAATTGGGGTAGGTGCGGTGAACTAAAAACAATAGGCCCTGGCCCTGCTGACTATATGACTATACAATCATGGAGCTATAAAAAGAGGTCTTACCCAACAATGTATGCAAAGCATTCCAAAATACTCCGGAGAGACTCCCATACCTCAGACGTCACTGACCAACAAAGACTAGGAAATGTCCTTTGACATGTTTTCTCACTCAGGTAGGCATGCCATGGTAGCAACTTTTCCCTGCTAAATCCGACATTTTTGGACATATTATCCCTTTTAATGGTGATATAGGTCACTGTAGGGAAAAATTAGTGATGTCCAGATATATGGGAATCTTTCCAGTACGCCGAAAGGAAGTTGAATTTTGAGAAATAAATAGTCCAGACTTACCTGACGTACAGGCCTATATAGCCTACTGCTGCATTATCTGCTGCATAATGTTGATCGATAACCAAACAACAGGTGGCGCTCTTTACAATTAACGGTGTCAGGTACAATCTCATTCAAGTGATCTTGAGCGGTACGCGTTGCCATGGTGATACGTCATCACTGTGCTCTGCATCCTGTATGTGCTCCACAGTTGACATCCTTGGTAGAACCTTCAAACTCTGTCAACTTCAAGAAACAAAGGAAAACAAGTTATTTTAACATCTTAACCCTCCGACGCAGAAAGCCTATTTACTAACACGCTTACAGTAAGGGGTCCCCAGATATTTAGCGCCTTGGTTTGAGGCTACACAACACTGTATAGATGTACACAATCTCGACATGTCTGTAGACTATAAATAAGGAGGTCATTGACAGGAAACAGATGTTGTATACATAGTCTGTGGTCAAGTCGTGCACTTGGCTACCCGCAAGTGACCTTGTTTTGTGCATATGTATATGGGCAGCCCAGGTTGTCAGGCTCAGATATGCCTGACCCGGGGTCACACACTAAAGGTGACTGCATATATCCGTAGAGGATGTCCCTTGCTAGGATTAGATGGAAGATCACCAGAATTGGTTTGAAATGTTTTTTTTTATTAAGGTAATTAACCTAATTGGGTCCCCAAAAGGGCTAGTTTCTGCGTCGGAGTGTTAATCTTCTAATTCATAAGGTTTAGTTCAAATATTGTTTTCATCTGCTATTTTTTGGAAAGGTCATTGTTTGATGAATTTGGTGGACAATAATTACTGTGAAATTTGAGAACAATTTCCCAAATAATTGACAAATTTACAAAAGATCAAAGTGGTCAAGAGAATGGTCAAGAATAATTCTAAAAAAAATTGGTAATGAGTATACAGAGGGTAATAATGGCAATAAATATTTCACCTTTTTGGAGAAAAGTTCAAAAACGAATAGTGTCTAACATTAAATGCATTAGATAAAATGACCTGAGAGCAAATATGCAGTCCTATGCCCCCTGTCTGTCTGGCCTCAACTCCATTTTCAAAGCTGTTGATGAAATAAAATGAATCAATAAACATTCACTGCAACAAATACAGCGGTGCTGTTGAAACCCCTCGGCCTGAGTTTGTTGATATAAGGTGTGAAATTACAAGTACATGTAGTAGGATAGTTACTGGTCAATGGAATGACCTAGACCTTGACCAATGACGTTGACCTTTGACATTTTTTCGATCGATGATTTTCAGTTCGCTCGCTGTGTTTTGATGGACGTTCATGACGTTTTTGTACTTAGTGTTTTGTGCTGCAAACAATTTTGCGGGGTTTTGTGTCTATGAGGCTCCGCCCCGCGGAGCATCATGATATAGTTCTTCTAGGAGTATGACCATACTTCCTGAACTTAGTTTAAAACCCTTACACTTACAGTTCTGGAAGACTTACTATACAATCATGGAGCTATAAAAAGAAAGTCTCACAATGTATGCAATTTAAGCATAATAACCCCCTAGGCCCTTTTTGCTTAGAACCATCCTCAATCCTCCAAAATTTTGCAACTCCACCTAAATTTTTCAAAATTGTTAGACAGTCCTGCCTCAAAATGCATTCATCGTCAATCCTCCAAAATCCTCCTCATCCCAAAATTTTGCACTCGTGTTTAAATGAAGGATAACCAATGCCAAATCCTTCAAAATCATCATACAGTCCTGCCACAAAATGCATTCATCCTCAATCCTCAAAAATCCTCATTTGATTCAATCACCATTCATCCTCAATCCTCCAGAATCCTCATGTGATTCAATCACCATTCATCCTCAATCCTCCAGAATCCTCATTTGATTCAATCACCATTCATCCTTAATCCTCTAGAATCCTCATTTGATTCAATCACCATTCATCCTCAATCCTCCAGAATCCTCATGTGATTCAATCACCATTCATCCTCAATCCTCCAGAATCCTCATTTGATTCAATCACCATTCATCCTTAATCCTCTAGAATCCTCATTTGATGCAATCACCATTCATCCTTAATCCTCTAGAATCCTCATGTGCTTCAATCACCATTCATCCTCAATCCTCTAGAATCCTCATTTGATTCAATCACCATTCATCCTCAATCCTCCAGAATCCTCATGTGATTCAATCACCATTCATCCTCAATCCTCCAGAATCCTCATTTGATTCAATCACCATTCATCCTTAATCCTCTAGAAT